TACAAACTCCAAGGACTAAAGCTCATGTGAGCTTCTAAAGTATAGCCCCCTCAAACTTTCTTCTAAGTGCCTACCTATTTTTTCTTCACAAACAATCCTAATAAGCACATCTGTCTGGTTTCCAAACCCACAACAGATCAATAGCATATCAGAAGTCAAGAGGGTCTACTACAGGAAGGCACACTGACAGTACCAAGGGTGACAGGTGACAAGGCAAGAATCAAAATAACTGAAAAGCAGACACCCAAACTCAGTAGAACAGTCTGTGGCTCCTTTGCAAATAGATCAATCAGTTCTACAAGCCTCAAAAGTCTGTAGAAATGCCAATGCACTAAAGCATGGTATAATAATCCTGATTACACCAAGTTGCTGGGAAAGGTTAGATTGTATAAAGCATAATAATTTGTTTTCGAAGAGAAGAACATAACCATTTTGGTGAAATTATTTTAACATACTTAGAGATCAAAGGATTTAGAGTTACAGATAAGGAAATCAAGGCTCAGATATTAACTGCCTTGCCCCAAGGTCACAAACGTAATAAGTAGCAGAACCAGGATTTGAATGTTAGTGTGGCCACCATCCGAGTTTAACATCCCAACATCTGACTGAACCATTACACAGCTTCCTAACTGGTCGCCTGCTTCAGTCTCTCCAATCTCCAGCCTTTCTGCCCACAACTAGCAAACTGATCTTCCTAAAACACAGGTCTGATTAAGTCATTCCCAGTATGAGATGCTTTCATGGTACCTTATGGCCTCTAGAACAGAACACAAACTCTTCGGTTTGGGATGTAAAGTCTTTCATAAGTTGGCTCCAACCTATCTTCCTATACTGATTTCACATCACTCCTCCTCACATAAGCTGTGTTCCAGAAAAATGGGTCTATTTGCTATTGTCCAAGCCCAGTATTCAATCTCTTCCTGCTCTGCCCCTTTATTAAACTGTCATCCCCCAGGCCTAGAATTCTGTCCCTTGTTACCTCTGCCTCTTTGCATTCCCATAAGGCACAGTTCAAGTACCACCTCTTACATTAGGTCCTTCCTGATACCCACTGTTGTTAGTGTTTCCCTCCACTCCACAAAATTACTTTGTATTTATTTTAGACATACTTTGTCATGATTTATCTTTGTATATGCTGTTTTCCCTTAGTAGAATGAGAGCTCTTCAAAGGCAGGGCCCTTCCTTTTGTATCCCCAATGGTTAGCACCACACCATATGAATTCTGATTCCAAATCCAGGATTCTTTTCATTATATCACACTGTCTCTATTTAAAGGGGTAAAAAAGTTAAGTTAGCTTTCCAGAAAAACTCATTCCTGAAGATTCTGGATTGCCAAACTTGCATTGTAGTTGCTAATCTAAGTCATCTTAGAGATTTAATGGCAGGTATCATTCGGGAAACTTGATACGTCCCCTTTTAGCTTAGGTTTTGGAACCAACCAATGAAGAATGCATTACACACTGCTCAATCACCCAATGAAGAACTAGGGGACAAAATGACAGAAGAAGAGAAATAACAATGATGACATGGGAAAAATATTCATTCTCTCACAAAAGGGAAAATTTTGGATAAATATATGTGTGGCGAAAAAAAAGCAAAGAACTGAGTACATATTGCTGGAAGACGTCCCATGTTAAAAATAAAAGAATGGCAACAAGAAATGTTAAATAAAAGGAGACGATTAGACTAGGTGTCCTCTGAGATTCCTTCCAGTTCTATATTTAAGATGTTATGACCTATATTCCTTTGAAACCTAGACATGGCTATGGGCACATAAATTAACATATACATATATGTTCTAATTTTGAATAGAAACTGATCTTTAAAAAATGGTCAGAAAAAAAATTAGAGCTAAAGAGTATTTCAGAAATTGTTTACATATTTATAGAAGGGGAAACTTAAGGCTCATGGAGTTTAAGAGATTTTCTTAAGGTCATTTGGCTAACTAATTAATGTCAAAGCAGCGAGTAAAAACCAGAGAGATGATTCAACAGGAACCATTTTTTAACCAAAGACAACCTTTGGCTAGAACTTTCAGCATGATAGAAGATTAAAAAACTGGTAATTAAGTACTCCCAACTGTGAACATTATATATTTTTAAGCCAAGCCAAAACCCATCCTAATTTTTAAAAGGCTTATCCATTTGCTGTTCAGCCATATTTCTCTACTTCAATACAGAGAAGGAATATTTACCTATATTTATCCAGGGACAAATAGTCATTAAAATCCCTAGAGCCTGAACCTGTAGCTAGATTATGTATTATTGATGGTCTTTAGGGAAGGGCTACATGGCCTCTGATATCACTTCTAACTCTAAGAGTCTATGATTCCTCTGCTATGACAGTAAGCACTATGTTAAACCCAGCTCTCCTTCTATAGTAAAAACTCATGTAAATGAATGTAATCATACAGTTCTGTTTCTCTAGTGTTGAACATTACATGTTCAATCAATCAATTAACATTTAGTAAGTACCTACTATGTGCCAGGCACTATGCAAAGGATACAAAGAAAAACAACAAAAGTCCCTACCATTGAGAAGCTCACATTCTATTGGGGGAAACACCATGGATACATATAAGTATACATAAAATTCTGTATATGATAAGAAGTGGGGGACAGCCAGGTGGCACAGTGGATAGACCTCCGGCCTGGGAGTCAGGAGGACCTGAGTTCAAATCTGGCCTCACACACCTGACATTTATTAACTGTGTTACTATAGGCAAGTCACTTAACTGTGATTACCTCATCAAAAATCTCCCCCTCCCTCCACAAAAGAAGTGGACCTCTGATTCCCGTGGTAAAGAGAAGCTCAGGTAAAGAAACTCCTTCTAACAGCAGAGGCTTGTATCTTCTTTGCAACTTACAGTTTTAGTGAGTTACTTCAGAACTGAAGAGTTAAGTGATTTGCCCAGGGTCATATAGCCAGTCAGTGCCAGAAGTGGAATTAGAACCCAAGTCTTTCTGGCTTCAATAATTAGAAGATAATAGGATCTCCACAATACAATGATCCAAGACATTCCAAAAGACTCATGATGGAAAATGCTGCCCACATCCAGAAAAAGAACCATGGAGTCTAAATGCAGGTCAAAGCACAATATTTTCATTTTGGGGTTTTTGTTTCGTTTTGTTTTTTCTTTCTTATGGTTTTTCCTTTTTGTTGTGATTCTTCTCTCACCATATGACTAATGTGGAAATATGATTAATATGATTGTATATGTATGAACTGTATCAGACTGCTTGCTTTCTTAGGGAGGAAGAAAAATTTGGAACTGAAAATCTTATAAAAGAGAATGTTGAAAACTATCTTTACATGTCATTGGAAGAAAATAAAATACTATTAAGTGGGGAAAAAACAGAAAAAAAAAGAAATAAAGCAAACCAGTTTTTTTGTTTGCTTGTTTTGCTTTTTGGTGAGGCAATCAGGGTTACGTGGCTTGCCCAAGTTCACACGACTAATAAGTGTCAAGTGTCTGAGGCCAGATTTGAACTCAGGTCCTCCTGACTCCAAGGCCAGAGCTCTATCTACTGCACCACCCAGCTGCCCGAAGTCCTGTTTTGTTTTGTTAAAGCTTATAGGATCATAGATTTAGAGCTAGAAGGGATCTAGAGACCACTGAGTACAACCCTCTCAATGTATATATAAGGAAAGGGAGGCCCAATGAGATTAAGTGACTCGCCCATGGTCACAGTTAATAAATGTCTGAACTGTATTTTGAACCTAGATCTTCCTGAATCCCAGTCCAGTACTCTACTTCTTATATCACGCAGTTTCTTGCATATAAAAAGGAGAGAAGAAGTAACGTGAAAGGAAGATACTAGCACGTATAACATTTTCCGTAAAAAAGAGGCACTTGAGATGAGTTCTTAAGGAAGTTAGGCATTTTATGAGGAAAAGGTAAGGACAGCACATTCCAGATACAGAGGACACCTGCACACCCTGATATCCAGCAAAACTGGCCCACCTGGTGGAGAACAGTTTCATAAATGTTTGGGGAACTGAAATATTTCAAAATGTTAACAGATTTTACAAAGCTGTCGATTTTCTCTTTTAGGAGGAACAAGTGACTCCTAAACAAAAAATTGAGATATACAGGTTACTTGTATTTTTTCAAAAAGGAGTTGTCATTATACAGTAAAAACAGAATAATTTCATATTGTGAATAATGGAAAATCATATTATATTTTAATGAAATGCAAGTCAAGAAAAGCCAAATCAGGAAACTATTATTGAAGGTCTGCCTGGTTACTGGCCTGGTCCTAAACAATGAAAGGAAAAGTCATTAGCATCTTTAACTGGAGACAAACAGAGGAAAGAATCTAAGAAGAACCAGCTATTAGTTATATGAGAACAAAAGAGAAAAAGTATATACTATAAACAGATTGAAAATTAGTGTAGCTACTACCTTCTGCCAAGTCAACATTTTCTCCCTTAATTCAGTTCTCTACCAATTCAAGGTGATCAATTAAAAAAGATTATAAATTGGGGGGGGGAAGAATAACACATGAGTGTCATTCACTAGGCTAGCCAAATATTTGTTTTGGTTTGGTATCAATGTGTAACACTTTTTGAAGTTAACAATTTTTATCTATTTCACTCTACTCATTATTGGGGGGGGGCAAGGCAATTGGGGTTAAGTGACTTGCCCAGAGTCACACAGCTAGTAAGTGTTATGTGTCTGAGGCAGGATTTCAACTTAAGTCCTCCTGACTCCAGGGCCAGATGTCCTGACCCTGGGCCGGTGCTATATGCACTGCACCACCTACCTGGCCTCTCACTCTACTTATAATTAACACTTCATGTACGTATACAGAAAAACTTGAAAATATGAGTACATCTCAGTACAAAGAAGAATTTAATATACATCTACATTTGCACACTATACAGAGGTCATGCTTAGCTACCACATGCATATATATTGCACAGAATTTTTTAAAAGTCTGAAGACAACTGGCAAGGTTCCAATTAACAATGGACTTTGTTTAAAATATCTGCTTTACCTGATAGATAAAACCGCTCATCCTAGGACTGGCAGACAACATTAACAAAATGTTAGGGAAGAGTAGAAGATATCTTTCATTCTTTTCCTTAAAAAACAAACATAAATAATTATAAAATATACACGTATACATGCTGCAAATTGCAAAACATTTATTCTTATTCCAAGCATCATCAAAAATCATATGCTATATTTTTCACCAAAATATGGCCATTAACTTTAGCTAAGTTAAATGAGACCAAAGTAAAGATAGTAGAGTCTGCATTTTTTGCTGTTGAGTCATTGAAGTCATAACTGACCCCTCATGACTCCATTTTGGGGTTTTCTTGGCAAAGATACTGGAATGATTTTCCATTTCCTTCTCGTTTTACAGATAAGGAACTCAGGTAAACAAAGTTAAGTGACTTGCCCAAGGTCACACAGCTAGTAAGTGATGCTGGATTTGAACTCTTAGAGAGAAGTCTTCCTGATTCCCAGCCCAATGTCTATCCGCTGTACCACCTAGCTACCCAGATTCTGTGTTGCACTTTTGCATTTGATTAAAAGGGCACTTTAATTTCTTGATATTATAAAAATGTAATATACATGATTTAAATTACATTTGGCTCATATGTATCTGATATAGTACTTTAAAAGGATATTCTATCACTGTTTTCACCTTTAGATTTAATATAATCATAAATCTCAAGAAACTTAAGTTCTGTTTTCTTGAGTGAGAGGACAGGATCCAGCTTCCTGGCAGATGCAAAAGATGGATAAGGGCCACATGTTTAGAACAAAACATTATTTTTTAAAAAACTATGTTACAAGTAAGTCCTAGTACACTTCCAATGTGGATCAAAAAGATACTACATTATTTTAAAGCTCTATAATTCCATTTTCATGTGCTTCATTATTGTTTGATGAGCTTGAAAACCTTCCATGTTACTTTTAACAACTTTGCTTCAATAGTTTCACAGAAGTCAAAGCCTGTGATGAAAGACAAATTCAAATGGAAGTACAAACACCAAGATCATGGCATAAGGTGCTATCTGAAACCCTTGTATTATTTCCACTAGTAAGTGAACAGGAAAAAAAAAAGTATGAAATTTTTTTAAACAGCTGTAACAGGAAAGGGAGCCTGTAATTCAGCATGAAACAGTAAATACCATTAATTATCAAAGCATTAAAATGTCACTGACCACTGATAACTGACATATCTTTCTAGTTTATTAATGAAAAGAAAATATATCACACATATAACAACTTAATTTTTGTAATCTTCCAAATATTAACACGTACAAAAAAAGATTACTACCCTAAGGTATTTAATTTTGAAAGTAGGTCATTAACTCATCATTAAAATAAATGTTTTAACCGTGGTAATTACTTTATCAACAAATGGAATATACTTCAAAATAGAGATTAGCTAGATTAATTAATCAGTGAAGAATGTGGATTCCACTGGGTATTTATATGACTATATAAATTATCATTGGACAAGGATGTCACAGAGTAACTAAGCTAATTCACAAAGCAAATACATGTCAAAGCAATTATGTATATGTATTGTAAATGTCAACTAAAACATAAGAACAACACTGGTCCAAATTATCTAAAAGAACAGACAACGCTAATGTCTTTCAAACGCATTTTTGTGCATTGTGAGAGGTCACATTTAAATAGGTTCTAGACAGCATCACTCTCAGGATGACTGATGAATACTGATCTCAGTTTAACTCTCCTTTCTGTCTATAAGGTTATTGGTTAGCTCTCTTCCACATTCCTGGAGTGTGTGGGGTCTCATTTGTTCCTGTTCATTTGTTTTGCAGAAGGACGATATATGCTCTTCATTATTTTAAATGCCTTGTCCAGTAGCTGACTATGAACAGAATATCAAATCTTCCCTAAGAGGGGAAGACAAGGAAGTGATATGAGCAAAGAAGCAGTAAGCAAACTCCACTACCTTCACCTTCAATTTCCTTACAGAAAGCTTGAAGAATTTAAGTAATTATTAGAGATAATCTCTAAGTGTATAATTGAAGGCACAGTTGAGAGGTGATTGTGCTAGCATTTAAAATTGAGACAATATTTTCTTAACCAAAATATGGCATAACTAAAAAAGGGAAAACTATTTTGTAAGAACTATGGCATAAACATTTAATACAGTAAGCTGGTTAGATATACCACCGAAAAAAGGGGTTAATTTTATAAGTCACTACTAAAGACTCTGACTTCTGAATAGTTCAGAACAATGGTTATCAGACTAAAATAGAAACGGATCCCTGCAGGCTGCTTATTGACTCAGAACATGACAAATCAACATTACCTATGTTGTACTGTATTTTTACTGATTTTGTTAAATGTTTCTCAATTATATTTTAATCTGGTTTGGGCAGTACTCCAGAGTTTTGCAGGCACAAGTTTGACACTTCTGGTTTAGAAAATAAGATTATCCAATGCTAGTATACTTTCTACATAGATGTATCCATAGGATCAAACTTATAGAACTGAAAGGGATCTTAGAGGTTATTTAATCTGATCTCTTCCACAGGAGGAAACAGAAGCTCAGAGAGGTAAAGAGACTTGCCCAAAGTCACACAGGTGGTGTGGGGCTGAGCTAGAATTCAGTCCAAGCTCTCATTTCTAAATCCAGCGATCTTTCTACTTCACTACTATAAATAGTCATGCTTATAAACATACATCCACATATACACTGACAAAAATGTCATAAGAGTATAGATTATCCAAAGTGACAGTCTTGAGAACAGGTATCTTTAGAGAAGTAGCATGCCTTGGTGAATAGTGAGCTAAACTTGAGAAAAAACTGAATTCAAATCTTGCCTTTGATGCTTACTAGCTCTTTATACCTGGCCAAGTCACTAAACCTTTAGGAGTCTCTATTTCTTAATCTGTAAATTAGGGATGATACTACCTATAATACCTAGTTCATGGGGTTATGGCAAAGCTCAGATGAAGTAATCTACATAAAGTACTTGCAAAATTAAGTGATATATAAATGTTTACTATTTTATTTATTATTGTTATTGTTATTTAGAACAATGGTTTTTCCCTAACATTGCTCATTTCTAATCTCTGAATAGTAATCTCTCAAAAAGCAATATAAACAAGGAGGCATCAGAAAGCATGAATCTATCTCTGATGTCCCCTGACTTTCCTGATACTTGTCCCTAGAACTGCTTTCAAACAGCTGAAATGAATTATGTTGTATTTTGAGACAAAGTAGTCAGAGTGGGACCTAAATACTTAACTTAAGCATTAACTTGAGATACCTTAATATGGAGTACAATATGGTAGCTCTAAGGGTATCCCCTGGTATCACACTTCAATGAGCTTTGAATAACTATAATGCCAGCTCTCCTGGTGAAACTAATGGCAGAGAGAATTTGAGGTGACACTACTCCCTCTGAATGGGAATTTGTCACTAATAAATGGCATCATGACTGACCAGAGTTGGATTTATTTAGTGAATATGAAGTAAACTTTCCTCAAGGTTAGCATCCCTAACTTTTTATTTACACATAAGCTTTTAATATATCATATCCTCTAGTTCTTTGTTAAAGAAACCATCAAGTACAGGACAGAAACAGGGGATTGAGGGTTGTCAATGACAACTTTTCCTTACCTGGCATTTCAAAGCAAAAAAGATCACATACTTAAGCATCTAAAATTAACTGCCTTTGCAAAACTGATCACCATTCATGGTTATTATCAAGCATTCAGAAACATATTAATATGAATTGAACACTATTCAACTGAATACAAGTTTGCTATGAAAATGGACATTTTAATAATTTAGGTTAAATAGTTCTGAATGGCCAAAAAAAAAAATTAAATTGAGAAACTTTCCACCCAGATGGTCTTTTTATGTAACCACGACTATCTTCATAATTCATCTTTCAAAAGACCTAACAGTAATACTACTTTGTGAACCCCTTAGCCACCTCACCTCATTTCCTGCACACTGAATCATGACCTGGGACATGTATATGACATTGCCCAGGGTTTTAATGTCATCTCCCTCCCAGCAACGAATTGCTTCTGTCAGAATCTGGAGTTCAAGCTCTTTCCTTTTTCGTACTTCCTGACACTGTGCCTAGAGGAAAAGGGAAACATATTTGTTAATAAAGAAGTTAAGAATTAATGAGAGACAGGAATACTACTCTGGAGCAGATACCCACTGCAAAATAAATCAAGGCATGTATGTATGTGTATGTGTATGTATGTATATATAAAATGAAATATATGTGCATGCAAATACATACGTGTATTTATGTACATGTGTTATGTTGCATGTGGATGTATGAGTGTGTGTGTGTGTGTGTGTGTATGAATGAATTGTATGTATACGCCTACAATACTGAGTGCAGCATAAAGGTCAGGCTATCATAGGATATCAAGATATTGTTTGCCTTGGGAATGTAATGGCTATTTACCTCCTATTCCCAGTGAAAACAAAGCTATATTTAAGGGCTCAAGGAATCGAGAGCCATCCCAACACTACACTCAAGTACATTATCCAGGTACTTGACATTTCCCATTATTAGCTTATTAAAGTTTTATCCCATATAAATAAGGGATATACCTATTACATATCTTTTAATTCACTTACTTCCTTCATATGTCCTCTGTAGTTAATTTGAGTATTTATAATTGTTAAAATTATTCATTCACTCAAAGTTGTTCTTAAAACAATATTGTTGTTACTATACACAAGGTTCTCTTGGTTCTGCTTATTTTGCTCTTCATTCATTTGTGTTTTTCTAAATCACTGAGTTCAATCATTTCTTATATCACAGTAGTATTCCATTACAATCATATACCACAACTTGTTCAGCCATACCCCAACTTATGTGCATCCCTGCAATTTCCAGCTCTTTGCCCCTACGAGGAAAGTTGCTATAAATAATTTAAGACATATAGGTTCTTTCCTTTTTCCCTAATCATCTTGAGAAACAGACCTACTGGTATTGCTGGGTCAAAGGCTATAAGCAGTTTAATAACTCCTTGGGCCTAATTCCAGATTGCTCTCCAAAATGGCTGGATCAATTCACAGTTCCACCAACAGTGAATTAGTGTCCCAGCCTTTCCATATTCCCTCCAACATCTGTTGCTCTCCCCTTCGATCATTTTAGCCAATCTGATAGGTGTAAAATGATATCTCAAGGTTGTTTTAATGTGTATTTCTCTAATCAATAATGATTTAGAGCATTTTTTTCACATGACTATAAATTGTTTTGATTTCTTACTCAGAAAACTGACTGTTTATATCCTTTGATCATTTACCAATTGGAGAATGACTTATATTTTTATGGATTTGACAATTCTTTTTATATTTGAAATATGACACCTTTATCTGAGAATCTATCTATAAATTTTTTTTCTTAATATCTATCTGGTTTTACACACACACACATGCACGCACACACGCACGCCTAATGGTTGCCATCTGGGGGAGAGGGAAAAAAAGGTTAAAAAAAAAGTTACATGATAATTTTATTATATATTTAAAAGGAACAGCAAGTTTTATATAACAGATTTGTAGTTTCATGTACAATTATCCTTTTTTCTATTCTATGTTATGGAAATGCTTTTTTATTTCTTAAGTTCAGAATAAAATAAATAAAATTTAAAAATAATTCACTTACAGAAAGATTTTTGAAGGCTGTCATAGACTTTTGAATATCTTGCCGATCTGGATGATAATCCTTAGTGTAACAAAACAAAACAATATTACTGTCAATCTTAGTATCAAAAAATACTGCTTAATAATTTATTATTGCTACAGAATTGCCAGAACCTAAAAAATGTAATTCTGCTTTCAACATGCTCCTTTTCTCTCACTACTACAATGAATGTCACTTTTTCTGTCCAGGAAGAAAAATGACCAAGGGATCTCAGGCCTCTTATATGAAACCAAAGGACTCACAACTAACTAAACACAACTCATTTGAAGTAGAAATGTGAAAATTTAAGTTTTTGCCCCTTCTTGTTAAGCCTTCAATAACATGCCAATAAGAAAAATAATTAACCCATCATGTCCAGCTGTTATTTAATGTCTTTTTTACTTCTGCTGCCCAACAACAGAAGCTCTTTTAAAAATTACTTTGGAGTTTATGGTTAATTGCCATATTTCCAAATAAAAAGCAGTTTTGACTTTAGAAATGATGGTATCTGAAAATAGTAAAAGTTGTTTAAGTCCCAAAATGTTAAAGTTTTAGAAGGAATCGAGGGTGGTTTGTTTTGTTTTTAATCTGGTCACAGACATACAGTTGAAGGGACTTAGGTCGAACAGTCTCATTTCATGGATGAAGAGGTTGAGATCTTGCTCAAGGTCACAGATGTATTAAGTAGTAAAGTAAGGATTTGAATCCAGATTCTCTCATGGTAGAACCATCATTCTTTCCACTGTAAGGAATATGGTAGAAGGGCAATTCATCTGCAAGAGATCTAGGAGCTGTAGTGGATTCGAAGTTAAAGATATCAAAAATGTGGTATGAGAGCCGAGAAGTTAATGTCATTTTAGGCTGCATTAAGAAAGGCAAAACGTCTGGGACTGTGGAAGTAAATGATCTACTGTAGTCTACCCTGGTCAGATCACACCTTGAATTTGTGTTTTATTCTGGGTACTACATTTTAGAAAGGACACTGATAAGCCTGCAGAGGAGGGTAACCAGGATGGGCCTAGAGCTCATGGCCTGTGAGGAACAGCTAAAGTTAAAAGGAGATGTTTAGCCTGGACAAAAACAAAAACAAAAAACTGAGGGGGCATATGATAATTGTTTCAGGTATTTTAAGGGCTACTGTGTGGGACTGGACTTAGTTTTGCTTGATCCCACAGGACTGAACGATATGCAATGAGCAGAAATTACAAAGTGGCAAATTTAGGCTTGAAATTACATATAAATAAATGTCTGTGTGTGTGTGTGTGTGTGTGTGTGTGTGTGTGTGCACGCGTGTATAAAATATATACATACACATAAATGAATGAAATAGAGCTATCTAAAAGTTATTTGAACTGTGTAGGAATATAGTGAGTTAGCCCTGAGAGGAGATCTTTAAACAAAAGTAGGATGATCACTTGTCAGATGTACACAGAGGAAATATGAGATAGACTCGACAGCCTGTGAAATCCCTTCCAAATCTGAATGGGGGGAGGTAGAGAGGGGTGAGGGGGGTGTTAAATGTCTCAAAATATAAAAAAGCAAAATACATATTTTTTAAAAAACCATCTTGAATCCTAGAGAAACTTTTAATTGGTTCTGAAACGTGCAGTGAGTCTTTGTTACAATGTGTATCAGGCAAGCTCCTTAAGGTCAAGGGCCATAGATCACCTAGTCTATGTCTCACCCATCTGTGACCCCGTGGCATTTTCAGTTTCTTATATTGATTCATCTGAGTCCCAAAAACACACATAGCAATCATACATACAATAGGTACTGAAGAAATGAATATAGAGTGGGAAAAAAATGGTACCTCCATATGTCTTTCAAGTTCTTTGAGTAAAGTAGGGTATTTATCCAGGCGCATAAAAGGTTTGCTGAGGCCTGTGGTCAACACAAGAATCCCAGGACTGCTGGCGCCTTTCATCTCCATAAATTCTCCCAAATCCTCACTGAGCAAAAAAAGCATTAACACAAAAGAACTTTCTTGTTAGCTGTAAAGGACAAAGCAAAGTTACAGTAACTGCTAGGCTAGACCATTTACTCACCCTTAATTATGTCTGTGATTAATGAAGAACAAAAATAGAGAATGACAATAGATTTTATCAGTGCTGCAAATCTGAATAATAACAAAAGAAAGTCAGGCTATCCAGCAGAGAAACTGGGCTAGGGCTGAGAAGGCTTGAGCTCTGGTTCAGTGTCCACTACAGACAAGCTCTATGACCCTGGCAACTTTTTAGGGTCTAATTTCCCAAGCAGTTTAGGCTAAATAATTTCTCAAGACCTTTCCTAAGAAAAAATATTTCAACATAAGTGAACTTGTACATTCTCTAATCAGAGAAAAAAAACCTGAATGTCATGAGAATGTCCAGTAAGTTTCTTACTGGAAAGGTGCTTCAAAAATATGATTGTGACCCAAAAAGTGAAAAAATTAAGTGAATTTTAAAAAATTCAAGTGAATGCCATATATTTCTAATATATAATAATGATTTTTAAATTTCAAAGGCTGAGGAAATAAAAATATTATGATGTCCACAGTTTACCAAGGCATAATTCCATGTTCAATGCCAATTCTTCATCCATAGACACATGTACATACGCTTCCATCTGGAACTATTCCAATAAGATTATTTATCAGCAAAACCATCTTATAATGAGATCCCTCAAATATTAAGTAACTAAATCCACCTCATTCTTCATTCTACCATGGAAGAGAAAGGAGTGAATGCAGGTTCCAGTGGAGTTCTCCTAGTCAACTCCTGTGTTCAATCAATTCATCAAGCACTTAATATTAAGTACCAGCTATGTGCAAGGCACTGTGCTTAGAGCTGGGGAATACAAATCTAGAGATGAAAATTATCCCTGCCCTCAAGGAGCTCCTATTCTATTGGGGGGGAGAGAATATCATGTAATTGACTTATAAGTAAATAGAAAACATTTTAAAAGTAAATACACAACAATTCAACAGTGGAAGGAAATATTACCAAATGGAAAAGTCAAGAAAGGTCTTTTGAATAGAGGTAGAGATTCCAAAAGGTGAAAATGAAGAGAGAGAACATTCCTACAATGAAGAGCAGGGTGTACGAAGGCATCAAGAAGGAATGTCAGACAGTGAGGACAGCACATGGGCTAATTTGGATAAAACAGAGATCGTGGAGGAGGGAAACCTGTGAAAACATTCTGAAAAGACAGGTCAGAACCAGACTGCAAAGAGTTTTAAACACTAAACAAGTAAGTTTGTACTTTATCTGGTAAGTAACAATGAGCTACTGCCACTTTTTAAGCAAGGGAGTAACATGGTCAGACCTGTACTTTCAGAAATATCAATCTGGCAGCGATGTGAAGAATGGAATGGAGAGGGGGAAAGATGGAGGGAAGGACACCAATTAAGAGTTAATTGTAACAGTTCAGGTGAGGGGTGACAAGGGCTAAACAAAAGTGGTCATGTGAATGGAGAAAAGGGAGTATGAAAGATGGTCCAGCAATAACACCTTGTTTTTCACAAAGATCATCTCTACAGTTCAAACCTTTAGAAAGGCAAGAGATGCAAAAAAAAGTTTATCTAAAACCTTGTTTTTAAGTCAACTCTTTGGAAATCAAAATAACTATAAAGCATTCATAAGCTATGACTACTGTCATCATCCCCCATGAATCGTTTAGTACCTTATCAAGATGAGTGAAATAAGATCTATACAATTCTGTGAGCTTTGTAAAAGAAGGTGCTACATTGCAAGTTGCTTAAGGAAACTTCTACTCTAAGAAAAGCCATTTTTTATGGCAGGCACCCTCTGAATGTGTATCTTCCAGAGGTCATTCCCAATCTATTATAATGTTTTCTCATCTGTTAGTGGTCACAAAGTCAAGCTGGCTCTAAATATATGCTCATATTTCTCCTATTTGCCTAAGACTTCTGACCTCCTTACTCAGCACCTGGATGAGCCAACTGTTGTGGATGCCGAGGGATCACTGATAAGTGGTAGAACGTGCTCATCATCTCACTTCTTGATTATGTCACTGTTGACTTTAAGTAAATTATCCCTTGTCAGAAGTGAAAGTAAGAATACAAGAAAAAGTAGGCAGCACTATCTAATGGGAAAAGTACTTAACTGGGAGTCCTAAGACCAAGGCTCTGGTCAGACCTCTGCTATCAACTAGCTGTGTGACCACAGGCAAATTACTTGCCTCTCTGTGTCCTCATGTGTAAAACAAAAGGGTTGAACTAAATAGCTTCTACTACCCCCTTCCCCTCTAACATATAATTTTAAGAGTCAAAACTGGACCATAGGCTGGTAAATGAAAATTTAGGTTGGAACAGAATCACAATTAAGATCAGGCAACAGGCCAAAAGATGGAAACAGGTAGCGACTGCTGTTGTTTTAAACAACCACTTATACCTTAAATTGTTTATGGCACACATGATATGGATCCCACTGACTTAGCTAATGAGAAGAAGCCATCAAACCTCCACATGTAAAACAAAAATCACAGAACAATTACCCAAGAATAATTTTCTGTCTTTCCTAAACAAAGTACAATATTTCATTCCATTTTAGTATTTCTCTTTTACCAAGCACAGAATGTGCATTACACATGTGAATACCCCACTTCACCCATATCAAACTTCTGTGTTTCAAGGACCCTTTGGTTTCAAAGACCAGTGTGATTCCCCCCACCAGACCACCACCTTCCACAGTCAAGCAATGATAAATCTCATCTCTACAATTTTGTAAATGTTCTTCAAGAATTGCTATGGCCAATACGGCAAGAGCCCTTTCCAAACACAGGAGATTCTCTGACAACAGATACAAAATCTGTCACTGAGCCTACAAAATCTTTTCCAACTTGCTAGAACTCCCCAGATCTTAAACTGAGCTGACATTGCACTCAAGATCCCAGAATCACCTGCAGGCCATAATGAGAATTAGAGAATGAATTTAGTAGAGACTTTAGTATTTCTAACATTTTGTTATTATAGAATACTTTGTTTCATTGGATCTTTTAGAATCTTGGAATATTGAGTCAATCTGGCTTAGAGACTTTAGTGTACAAGTTAGGCATTATTCATCCCTCAAATGAATGAAAGACAGTCCAACACAAACTACTTCATTATGTTTAACCAAAATTTTAAAATATTAGGTGCCTAGTCACATGTGGCATCCTGCTCTTCTCAGGAAAGAAATGACCTACATAGTAAAAGAACTAGTAATCCATCATCCAAGTGAAAGCAAATGCAAATTTAAGCAGGAACTGTTATTTTACCAAAAGGAAAACAATATGGAACTATGCCTATAATGTTGGGCCACTAATCTACTATCTGTAAAATGAGGAAATTGAACAAGATAACCTCTAAGGTCTCTTCAAGTTCTAAATTTATGACTGTATAAAAAACAATACCCATAAATAGGCCATACCTTAAAATAAATAAGTACATCATAAAACTGGTATTTTAAGGGGCTTCATAGTCCAAACAACTGCTCTTGCCCTCAAAAGACTTACAGCCTGGAATAGGGAATTTAAAAAAAAAGACTGGGGGGCGGAGCCAACATGGCAGAGTGAAAGCAGCAATTTGCTTGAGCTCTCCCTCCAAATACCTATAAAAATGGCTCTAAACAAATTCTAAGGCAGCAGAACCCACAAAAAGACAGAGTGAAAGAAATTTCCAGCCCAAGACAACCTAGATGATTGATTAGAAAGGTATATCGCTCCGGGCGGTAAGAAGAGCACAGTGCAGCATGGGCGTGCAGGCCTCAGAGGACTGAATCTTGGGCAGCTGTGACGGTTTCCAGACTCCTCAATCCACCAGTGCCAAAGACAACTTAGAAGGTCAGTGGGAAACGTCTGTTTCTGCGGTGCTGAGACAGGAAGGCGGGGTCTCAGCTCAAGTTCCCCAAGAACGTGGCCCTGGGGTAGACAGCTGCTTCCCGAGCTTCTGGCCCACAGACTGAGGGGGAATCAAGTGGCTGATCAGAGGGGGATTGCAGGAATCTCTGTGCTGGTGCTGAGGCAGGAATCTCTTGCTTTGCCCGTGCCTGGATCTGGGTCACAGCTCTGGATGGGGGTCCTGGGGTGAGGAGGAGCTCTGGATCAGTGGAGCTTGTAGTGGCTGTGCACAGTAAACCTTCCTCACAGTTCCAGGACAGAAAGGAGTGCTTGTGGTCACTAATACACCAGAGCACAGGCCAGGAAAGGAGTAAATACCTCGCCCCTTATCATACTACCTTGCAAGAACTGAAAATTTACAGGTCCCTACAAGTATCTCTGAAAACAGCTATATAAACCCCTGAAGCTTGGGACAGTACATTCTCCACATTGGAAACAGACTCTTACCTTACCAAAGAGTTTAAAATTCAAGTAACTGGCCGGGATCATGAGCAAGCAGCGCAAAAAGAGTCAGACTACATTATATTATCTTACTTTGGTGACAAAGAAGATCAAAATATACAACCAGAAGAAGACAACAAAGTCAGAGCTCCTACATCCAAAGCCTCCAAGAAACATATGAATCAGTCCCAGGCCTTGGAAGACCTCCAAAGGGATTTTGAGAAGCAAGTAAGCGAAGTAGAGGAAAAACTGGGAAGAGAAATGAGAGTGATGCAAGAAAATCATGAAAAACAAATCAACAGCTTGCTAAAAGAAACCCAAAAAAATACTGAAAAAAATACCACCTTAAAAAAGCCTAACCCAAATGGCAAAAGAGGTCCAAAAAGCCAATGAGGAGAAGAATGCCCTAAAAAGAAAAATTGGCCAAATGGAAAAGGAAGTCCAAAAGATTACTGAAGAAAATACTTCCTTAAAAATCAGAATAGAGCAATTGGAGGCTAGTGACTTTATGAGAAATCAAGACACTGTAAAACAAATCCAAAAGAATGAAAAATTAGAAACAATGTGAAATATCTCATTGGAAAAACAACTGACCTGGAAAATAGATCCAGGAGAGAGAATTTAAAAATTA